CCCCAAAACCCCAAAACCCCAAAACCCCGCGACTTAAGATGATAAAAAATAATCGGGATATATAATTAAGTTAAATCAAATATTATCTAAATCAAATGAGCTATATAATTGAGTTGAAGGAGTACTTAGATGGTGGATTTTCTTCTATCTAGCTAGGGTACGACATAAAGAGGTAATTGCCAGTTGCAATTAAAAAAGTACTATAACACTTGCTAATCTCTTTTAGAATTAATGCAAACAGTAATAGCTGTAAGAGATCAGAAAGATTCAACAAATTTAACAGGCAATGAAGGAAAGAAGGTGTGCAGGTAAATTATTTTTGAGTAATAGGCTTTAATAGATATTTCTAGAATAAATGACTATCATTTTTGTCAAGATAAGTCAGAGGAAAACCTTATTATTATGCCTCTAATTGGCAGTAATCTTTAGTAAATTAAAGAATTTTATCCTCATTAAGTAATCGACCATCAAAGTGTATTTGCCATTGCTATCAGAGCAGTAAGAAATTTCTTACTTAACTATATATATACAGATAGAGGAGTTAGAAAAATTTCACGAAACTGGATTTGTTCATGGCGATATTAAACCTGAAAATATTCTAATAGGAACATAAAAAATAAAATCAAAAAGTCCAAGAAACTTGGAAGTACAATTTTTAGACATACCTAAAGCAAAGAGCGATCAAGATATAACTAAATTTATAGAATTTATTCAGAGGAGAGTAGGGTCTTCATTAAATGAGCTATAAAATTAGGCGAGTCTTGGTCTATAATTTTTTTCTGATCAATAATAAACTGGGACATTCACATCTTTGTTAAATCTAGATCTTGCAAGAGAAAATATCGAATATAATAAAGAAAATGAAAACAAAATGGACTAATCTGATATTGTATAATAAGAATTATTTCTGATAGACTTTGGAGCAGCTTAAAGTTATATCACTGTCAAGTCAGATGGTAGAACTTAACATATTGAAAAATAGCAATTGGATGACATCACGTGCACTGTGTAGTTTGCTAGCAGAGATTAAATGTAAGGATTCACGCTTTCAAGAAAAGATGATCTGGAGTCTTTATTTTATACTATACTTAGCCTGCTATCAATTCCATTAAGAAAACTTGTTGATGTGGACTTGCAAAATTTAATTCATAAAAGTATTCCATAAGACTAATCCAAAGGTTAGTAGGATTTATTCAAGTATTTCAATCTCAAACAAAGAATAAATGAAAAGCTTTTTGAAGATTTGAAAATTCCAAAATGTCTTCAAAAATTCTGGAGTTATTTGAAAGTTTTAAAATTTGAAGAGAGTCCAAACTATTCAAAATTAATAGAATATTTCAGGTCAGAGATTAAAAACAATTAGAATCCTTTAGAAATTGTAAGACCTGAAATATTAGAAAGAGATCCTACTTGGTAGAGGTTCTGTTTCTGCCTTTAGAACTCAATGAGGGTGAATGAAGTTTAAGAGTTTGAGATGCCATATTTTCCAAATATTAATTAATAGTCAGCCAGACAGCAAGTATAAAGTGAATAATAAATTAATAAAAGCGAGCCAATTATGGTAATAGGATAAGAGGTTATCTCTTCACTAGATTTCGGGTTTGAAATCCTTGATGAGATAGAGGATAATTTTTTGCCTCCATTAAATAATATCCTAACTCATACCTGTTATACTAAATCATCTAAATTACTGAGATAAAAAGGCCTAGGGGTTTTGCTTGTCGCCTTCTGAGTACTCTTTCAAACCCCTTGTAAATATTAACATAAGCATGAAAATATCTCTTGAATATTAAATTAATAAATTTGTCGAGACTATTAAAACTTATGTATTCTAAAAATGCTTTAATTATTTAATTAGTATTATGTTGAAGGATGTTTGATAATTAAGCAGTTTACCATTAAGGGGTTTTGGGGTTTTGGGG